CAGCACAGTGCTCTGGTGGGCAGGTGGGCAGCACAGTGCTCTGGTGGGCAGGTGGCCCGCACTAGAGGCCATGCGGCAGGCGGCCAAAGCAGCGTGTTCTGCCAGCCAAATAAGGAAACAAATCCATGGATGTGCAGTGCATTTGTAATCTGCCGGGTCTCCATCCCAAGCGATCCCACACAGCGCAGCTGTACCTAAGGCCGTGCCCTGTGCGCACCCTCCCGACGCCGGCCCTCCGCGGGCTCACTGGAGCACAAGGCATGCCGTGCTCTGGACCACGGAGAGGGAGACCTGATGGGATCAAGTGTTCTTTGCTTAATTTTAGTGTCGAATCTCATAGTACACATGTGCATCACGTGAAGCGCATGCTCATCTTGGCGAAGGGGGCGTGCGCCTAGCAGCTTGCTTTTCCAGCTCCCTTCCCTTACCCCCTCCTTCTAAATCCCTTAACTCCATTCCCAATCTTGTTGATATTCGTAGCTCATGTTTTTAGGATACGATGTTTGCATTCATTGTGAGCGTTTGGTACCTGTACATGGCATAAAAACTGCTTTGGGCTGGGCCTCGGCTTTAAGAATTTAATCTAAGTTTCTTATGTAACTAAAGCCCCAGGAAACACCGACCATCGCAAAGCCCAGGTGGGCGCTTTGAAATGCTAAGTAACTTCTAAGTAGGCAGTTGATAAGCACCAACATTGCCACAGTGTGTCCACATCCAATGTCTCCAAACTCCCCCTTGGCACAAATGCCTTCCTGACGCTGCCCACAGCCTTCTCTCCTTGAAGAGGTAACTTTCTATGGACTTTACAAGGGAATCCACCTACGTTCTGGACAGCCTATGTCTTGAGTGAGATTGTTTATTTGGTACAGGGTCTGGCTACTCAGCTCAGACTCTTAGTGATCCTACTGTCTCAGCCTCCCCAGGGCTGGGATTACAAGTGTGCACTATCATGCCCAGTTGTGGTGGCCAGTACTGCATTCCCAGTTTCCAGGGCCAGCATGCCATGTGGAACCTGGATCAAACTCGGGTCCTTGCAATTGCCAGGCAGGCGCTTAGACTGCTGAGCTATCTCCCCAGTGCCTGGCTGAG